CTTTAAATAAAATACCAATAAAACCATAACGACCAATATCTTTTCAGTATTCCGGCAAATCTGTTGAAACACGTCTTACATACTTAGAGAAGCTGATCAGTGAGTATTTGCCCATTTCCATGATTCATGGCCAATTAGCATCACGTGAACAGTGTATTTGTAGCTACTACATATTTTACACGCATAATGCTTGCATATAATAATGCACACCTCGCAGTTGTAACTTTTTCACTGGATCGTTTCATTCAAAAGCATCGAGATATTCGTCAAATGCGTTAAATTCTACGTGGTTGCAAAATCGCTGCGAAATTATTTACGTCTATTTATATATGTATTAACATTATATATGTATAAACATACATATATTGCTGCGAACGGATAATAAAGTCCGCTGATTTACACTCAGGATAATATAAAACAGCGAACATTGATTCGTTAATAAAAAAATTCGTAAAAAATATTTGTTTAAAATGTAAGCTATTTATATAAAATGACGCGTGTATAGATTTTTCTCGTTGTTAAATATTTTCTTGTTGTGTCTGTACAGAGAACGTACGTGATTCGAACGTGATCCATGAAACCGCCGCTATACAGGGTGTGGTCGTAACGATGATACGAAATGAATGAAGCTGATTCTCTCTGCAAATATAGATTAAACGCACGAAATACCATTTTCTCGTTCTAAACAAAATTTAGAACCTGTATTCGTACGATCTTCAAAATACAAAAATGTGATAATCGATATTTATAAAAAAATCAAATTGTCAGATTCAATTTGTCCAAAAAATATACTTGAACGGACGATTTGCGACGACTGACAAGAACTATCATTAACGATAATCATCAACGATAAGAATTATAATAATCTTCAATAATAAATTTCAGCGACCAGAACTCGTTTTATCGTTCCTTCGTGGTTACTTATTGCATTGAAAATAGGATAAACAATAAAATCAATGCTGAACGCTTTTTCGTCGACGTGAACATATTATTATTAAATATTTATGCTACAGATATTAATATACTTCGTGACATAAATAATTAAAAAATAAATAATACGTAAGTAATAACAAGTAATCACAAAAGAACGAAAAAAAGGTTTCTTTATCTCGGTAACGTTTATTGCATTCGCTCTGTCACTATTAATTAATTAATCCTGAATTATGTCACTACTAAAATCATTTTGCAACGCGTATCAATTGTCTCGACGAAGCGCCGGTTAGGTGAATTGCTTCTCCGTAAAATCCGCAACGCGATTATGCCAGTTCCCATCTAAACCGTAAACGTGAGTCACACGTGTTGCCCATGGCGGTGCACGTGTCAACCAACTTTCTGAGTCGAACCGTGACCAGCGTACGCGGCCGCGCGCGCGCGAAGAAATATTCCGTACAATCCGGTCTTTGTGAATTCGCAACGCGCATTGTTGCTAGGTAGATCCCCGAGTCACGGAGAAACCGTAAATAATCGTGAAATGATGATTGCGAACCTAATTTCCGGCCGTTCGACAGCGTTTAATAAATCTTCGTAGATAATCTTGATTACGCAACGGATGACTGCTTAGTAGTATCGCGACCACACGCGAGAAAAGCCGATCGCCTCGATGAGATTCGCGTTTCTCCATTCGCTCGTCGTCCTAAGCTTACGAAAGATAAATGAACAGCACGACTGGCGCAAGGCGGCCGAGCCAACGAGCGCTCGAAGTTCCGCTGATTGGCTGGGCAGCCTAGCGCTAGGCGAGCTCGCCTCTCATTGGTCAGCATTTCTCGTTAATAACTCGTAAACAAAACCTCGTAGAATATTTTCGCTAAGGAAAAAGTTACTTCAAATGACCTCAGGAACCCCTCATTTCCCACTGTCTAATAATTTTGGGATATCCTGTAAACAGTGATCAGAAGCGAGCGCCTAATGAATGACACCAAGCGCCCCTTGCTAGAATTGTCCGCACCATCGTGTCAACCTGTTCCAGAAGTCATGCAGCTCGCGTTAATTGCAGCGTGCCCGTATGAAATTCGCGAAAATTCTCAATCCAGCGATCGGTTCTGCAAACCGCGAGAACTTGGCGATCAAAAAGCCGTGTTCCGTCCAGCCCCATCATCGGCGCCGAAAATAGAGAGTGGAATAGACCGGTGGTATCGAACGGACAGAATTGCAAAACGCCTAAGCTCGAATACGTTTCCCCGCTTCGATATCGCGCTAAGAGCCGAGCCAAATGTGACGCGACTACCTCCTTGGCACTCGGCGATTGTGCCTACATCTTTGACGCTCGGCGAGAGGTGCACGGCGACTTTTTAAGCGACCCCAGGACACCTTTTAAGACGGAATAACTTCTTTTCGAACTGGACTAAATGCCTTGAACTTTTTTCGTTTAAATGATAGAGGGCGACTGGATTTACTGAACGACGACTGGATCACTCTTTTTTTTTAAATTATGCTATTACCTGGAATGACAAAAGAAAGTAGAAAACTCTCGTTTCTTAATTCTTTTATCCGAGCCTATAACGAAAATTTAAAAAGTGTCTTTCGTAGGTGAAAGTTAAGAAGCGAGAGCTTTTTCATTTTGTTTTGCCACTCCAAGTACTAGCAAAATTGGAAGAAAGTGTTTCAGTCGTTTCAGTCTAAAATCTAGAAATGAATTCATGTTTTTCCCTGAATCGATTTGGTTCAGTTCGATAAAAGTGATTGCGCTTTAAAAAGTGCCCCGAATGCAGGTTGTCTCGCAATTATGTTAACAACCGGAATGAGGCGATTTCTGAGGTCATTCGAAGCAACTTTTTCCTTAGTGAAAATGCAATCCGCGGCTTCGTTTACAGGTTATTAAGGAAAAACTCTGACCAATGAGAGGCGAGATCGACTGTCGCGCGGCGGCCGAGCCAATGAGCGCACGGTGCTCGGATCAGCTCCATTGGCTCGGTCGCCTAGCGCCGAGCGAAGTCGCCCCTCATTGGTCAGTATTTTTCATGAATAATTCTTTAACGTGCCTCGGAGAAAATTTTTTAACGGAAAAAGTTGCTCCAAATCATCTCAGGAATCCCACATTTTTCGAAAATACCATAATTTCGGGACACCCTGTATACTTGTTAAAATAACAAATTTTTTCTCGAATATTAACGATACGCGAATGTTCTTAAATTTCTTAAATTTTGTCCCGAAGCGTGTGCACAATTAGAACATAATTATTAACTATATCGATGCATTTATGGCAACTACAATTTTTATTACTTGTTGTTACCGTCGACAGTTCCGACCATAATATATACAAACGATTTCTGAACGCGCAACCAATTTTCCAGCGTACGTATTGGTTAAATTATCAGCTCGTAAATAGATGTAAGGTGACCGTCGAACGCGAACGAGCTATTGTAATTCCGCGACTCCGACATCGTTTCTAGTTAAAAGTTAACTGCAGCAAATTCTCCCTAATTGACGCTCGGCTTGTTCACAAAAAGTGGACAATTTGGGAGGAGCAGATAAGATTATCCGAGCCCCGCGGCTCGTTTTTATAATTGTGGACAATTTATAACTATAAAAATAAACCGCAAGGCTCGAACAATCGTATCTCCTCTTCCAATATTGTCCATTTTTGTGCGCAATCTGGGCGTCAATTAGAGAGACATTACTTGAAAAATTAAATAATCCAATCTCTTCGCGCTTCCCGAATAATATGAATTGACCGACGACGATCTTCGCCGCCGTTCTCGGACAATAGCGATCGAGTGCCGCGACAGTGGAGAAACTAAACAAATGTGGGGGTGGGGGGAATATAAGCGCAAAGGCGCCTTCTTGTCGCGCGAGGACTATACGTTGTTCCGCGTACAGTAATGTCTCCCTTACTGACGCTCAGATTGTCCACTAAATTGGACAATCTGGGAAGAGGAGATACGATTATTCGAGCCTTGCGGTTCGTTTTTATAATTGTGGACAATTTATATCTATAAAAATGAACCGTAAGGCTCAAATAATCGTATCTCCTCTTCCAAAATTGTTCATTCTTGCGCGGAATCTGAGCGTCAGTAAGGGAGACATTACATATTCTGCTCGCGGCCGCGCGACGGTAAACGCGTTAGGAATGCTGTCCTTTACGCACCGAACTGGTCGCAATCTTGAAAAGAGGAAAATGTCTACGCGCGGCTTCACGTTTCTTTGAATAGTTTCGGTGAAATCGGATTTCACATAAAGATTCGCAGTTTACCGATCGCTCGAGCATCGCCGGCTTTGGCTCGCGCTCGCGAGCCTAACTTCCTGGCCCGATGGAGAAACGTCGCTGGATGATAATCCACGAGAGACATTACTTTTAGAATTCTCTTGGATATATTTTCAACTTAAATTAAACAAATTAAATTCACCGATCGCTGAAGTACAACGACGATCGTTGCTCTCCGTCGCATCGACGATTTTGTCGTTCCAAGTAATAGCAAAATTTTAAAAAATTATTACGGTCTATCTAAAAAGATCTAAAATCTTGTTGAATCTAATCTAGCAATCGAAATCAATCGAAATCGATCTAAAAAATTGTTACAGTCTAGCAGACTAGTCGCTCGATTGTCAAAAAAAATGTTATCGCGTTTTAGAAAGTGTCCGAATATTAAAAGAATAGAGAAAGAAAAAAATATGTAAATACAAATAAAGATTTTTCTGCACAAGCTAAGCGTCTTTCACGTCGTCTAAACCATGAATGAAATACGTGTATGTATTTACCTATGAGGCTCTTTGAGCGTGAGTTCGTCACCATGAATGGAACTCTTCTTCATGCTGGGGCTGTTGTACATTTCCATCTGCAACAATAATTACACATATGTTTTCAATACGGACTGTGACATAATTGTTGAACTTAATCGGTGACCGCGGTCGCAAGCAGATTCTATTTTCGTTCCGGCTGATAGGAAACTGTTTTTATTATGTTAATCGTATCGGGATAATTGACATTTCCTAGAATAGCAATTCGTGCGAAACAGTTTTCCTGCGAGCAGATCACGCCGCTACGCCGAGAAATTAATTAATTAATTGGTAACAGGAAACTCGGATTCCAGTTTCTACGATCGAATCGGTTGGTGGCGTAAGACGCCATTTTCCTCACTCTTGGAAACAATTAGCGTTGTTATTCACTGACGTGTGTATTTTTTACTGAAATTTGTATTGTTTAGTCACGCGTGTATTGTTTACTGGGACGTGTATTATATACTAACCGTATCATTATATATACTATATTATTATTATATATACTAATATTATTATTATGCAGGGTGTCCCAAAAATGTCTCGCAATCCGAAAGTGGCGGGTTCCTCAGGTCACTTGAAGTAACTTTTTCCTTTACAAAAATTTCTCCGAGGTACCGTTAACGAGTTATTAACGAAAAACAGTGGCCAATGAGAGGCGAGCTCAGCTGGCGCGAGGCGAGCGGAACTGGGCTTCGTGTGCTGGTTGGCTGGGCCGCCTCGCGTCAGCCGTACTCGATTCTTATTGGTCACTGTTTTTCGTTAATAACTCGTTAACGGCGCCTCGGAGAAAATTTTTGTAAAGGAAAAAGCTGCTTCAAATGATCCGAGGAACCTGTCATTTCCGGATTGCGAGACATTTT